GAGAGAGAGAGAGAGAGAGAGAGAGAGAGAAATGCTGGTAATGTTGGGCCCAGTGCGATGTAAAAGAGATGGTCTCCCTACTGAGCTAAATAATGACGTCGGTCCAGCTTTGGCTATTCGTTTCTTTTTTTTGTTGTTGTCTTAAGCAATCAATGCGTCGACAGGGAGATCACAGAACTGATCGAAAGTCATCGTTAACCACGAGCCAAGAGTAATCAAAGTCTGTCCAAAAATACATGCCGAACTTTGAAAGCTGCTCGATAAATCAAGGTGAAATTTAGTTTGCATACATGAACACGATTTTCAAAGTGATGTAAATACAATTATTTTTTGACAGCATGTTGACGCTGTAGCAAAAATAGAAGAAAAAATCACATACCCCCCCCCTCCCAAAAGGAACACAAAAAACTATCCCCCCCCCCCACACACAAAATAGCCTTAAACAAAATTTTCAAGGGTTTACAGTAATGTGTACGTGTTGAACGACACAGAAAATGTTTTTAAAAACATCTGAATTTCATTGAATAGGAAAGTGTGTTACAAACTAAAAAGCCTCAACAACGGGTGAATTCAGCGACCGCAACTCAACCTGAGTCTAAATACACTTTTGGAAAAGTTATTTACCTGGTGTGCCAGACATTAATTGTAACTTTTAGTACTGAGGGTCAGAAATGATTATCCTTCATTGTTTTTATACAGATGTGAGGAAGCAATATTGAAAACTGAGCTATTTGATATGCTCAATCGTACAAAAATCTTTAGGTTAGTGCAATACATACGTAAATGCAATCTAAAAAAACTCCAGCAAATTCCACCAAACATTTCTTGAGATATTGTGCAACTTGCTCCAACGGCCACATGTATATTACAATTACCTGTACAAAAGGCCCCTTCCCATTTCATTCCTTTGGTACTTTTTATTTTTACAATATAGTGACACTGTGTAAGATATCTACCAGTCTAAGCCGGCCACTTTACTCCTCGACAATGTATGGACGTCTTAGATAGTTTCCACCTTATTCTCTGTTCACTCTTGGGCACGTAATTATAGATGGACAATCATTTAACCACTTTTTATAGTCATTTACATTGTAGTGGGTGGTTGGCGGGTGCTCTGGTGTGGTTTGCTTGTTCCTTCTTTCCCATCAAACATCTATCATCCATATCTCTCCTCCTTTTTGGGTCTGTTCCCCTCTTGTAACACCTCTAATCTTATGTGACCTTATTGTGTTGCAAGTGCTTCAAAACTCTTACTAAGATTAAACTATTCACATAGCAGGAATTAAAACGTTGAAATCTTGTTCCGTACTTTTTTTCCCTGATAGGGCTTTCTTTTAGGCGTGAGCATAATTATTATTACGCCTAATTGGTCCATTTTGATGTGATGAAATTTGATTAAAAAATTTTTTTTCTAATATCTTGACTCCGAAGCTTGGTGATATCCACCATCACCCCCCTCCCACTCCCCAGCTTATCTAATTCATGTTATTGCGTCCGGATCTAAGAATTGCGATGATCATACTTATCTGGAAAGTCAGGCACTGTGCGGTTCTGAGGTCATGCTTGCTGCAAATCACGGGTTTTTGCGCGGTGAAAGTTACTCGATGCTCTGTGGGCTAATGTGATAATTAAAAGGAAAATGTATAGTAGAAAAGATATATCTCAATTAGAAAAGACCAACCCCCCCCTCTCCCAAATCTGAAAACACTCCATAAAACAGGCTTTACCATCTCGCAATCGAACTCACGTTTTTGCTTACAACGTTAGGCAAACTGAGCTTTTACAATCCCCCTCCCCCCCCC